GGCAGCAGGCGGTCTCTCAAGTACCCAGGTCCAATACCATGAAGGGCTTTATAAGTGACGACTAGCGCCTTGAACTATCATATCACCCCCAATCCTTATCTTTGTTAGGCTGGACATACTTAATTCCCTGGACCGATCATCATACATATCATCTTAGTTGCTCTTCTCCACACTTTCTAGGGCCTCGGTGTCTTTTTTGCATCATAATGACCAGAACGAGATGCGGTATTCCATGTGTGATCTCACGAGTGCACTACAGAGTGGAGCAGGTAGTTCTCAACTTAACAACCACCTTTGAGCCCAAAATTCCCGTTACTAACTGAGGCTGTTGTTAAGTGAGTTTTTCCCCCATTTTATAACCTTTTTTTTGCCACAATTGTCAAGTGAATCTCTGCACTTGTTAAGTGAGGAACACCGTTTTAAGTGCACCTGGCTTTCCCGATGATTTTGCTGGTCAGAAATTTGCAAAAGGGAATCACATGACCTTGGGACATTGCAACTGTCACATATATTTTGATCACGTGACCACGGGGATGCTGCAACAGTCATGTGAAAAACGGTCAAAAGTCACTTTTTTTTCAGTGCCATTATAACTTCAAATAATCACTAAATAAACGATTATAAGTCGAAGGCTACCTATACTATTCATTTCATTTATTGAATTTCTTGGCCGCCCAATCCCGAAGGACTCCTTGTATCACTTCTTGTGATCTTGATGCTATTTCCTGTTTATGCAACCTAGGACTGCATTAGTTTTTTTGGCAGCTTCAACATACTGCTGGCTTATAGTTAAGCCGAGGTCTATTAAGACGCCTAGATCCCTCTCACCAGATATCACAATGAGTAATAAGGCCGTGTTTCTTAAGCTCAACAAGTTTAAGATGTGTGGATTTCTTTTTTATATATATAATAAAAAAATTATTTTTTTGTTACATAAACAACACATGCCCACAACAGGGGGAGAAAAAAAAATCAAAACACAAAAAAGACAACAAAAAACAAGGCAGGGAAAAACAAAACAAAACAAAANGGGGGGGGGGTTCTTCCGCGTGGGACCCTTTGCCCCCTTCCCCATTTCATCATCCCCCTCTGCTCCTTCGCAGGTCTACACGGTGGTGGACGAAATGTTCCTTGCTGGGGAAATCCGGGAAACGAGCCAGACGAAGGTGTTGAAGCAGCTGCTGATGCTGCAGTCCTTGGAATGATTTGGGTGGGTGGGTGTCTCATCCGCTGCCTCTTTGTGGGGGGGGGGCTCTTCTTCCTCTGACCCGGCCGCTTCCTGCCAGCCCTTCCTCTCTTCCCCTCCAGCGCCCCCAATCACAGATTTCCTCACTCCGTAACCCAGAGCCGAAGGCTGGCAGGGAGGAAGCGTTTGGGGAAGGGGCTCCGTTGCGGTGTCTCTTCCGTTGCCCCCCTCCCTCCCTGCCTGTGGAAGAGAGAGAGCTGGCAAATTGGGGCTGGCTCGCCTCTTTGGTCAAAAGAGGGGGGGGGATTTGGAGAGGAGGGAGCTCCTATCCTCCCTGCCACCCACCCACCCACCTATCCTTGTCATTTGATCTCCCACTGCTCTCCACTTTCCCTGTTGCTGGTCTGTTGCCCCCTCCCCTTCTGGCCATCCATGTCAACGTGTTGTTCTGCAGAAGAGGGACCACGTCTCTGTGAGTGAGTGTGTGTCTGTGTGTTTGTGTGTCTGTGACTACAGGCACCTGTAATAAGTGGATTTGAGTGATTCAACTGCCAGTAAAGTGATGTCTTGAAATAAACCATCCATCCAACACTGAGAAAAAGAGATGTTGCTCATTTGAATCCTGGCCTGTTTCTGGAGGAACAATGCATCCCCCCCAGCCCATGTTCACCCCGATGAATCGAACAAATGCAATTAATTACGTTTTTGTTTCGGTGTTTTGTATGTGCCAGACCGAGAACTGTTGGACAAAAGAGAGCACCAAGTTGATGAAATTTATGAACCCTTTCTGTAAAATTTGGCAGTCTCCCACTCCTTATATGCCTCTTTCTCCTCGCTTGAACCTAAAGGGGGGGGGGAAATAAACCAGGTTGCCTCGCCTCCATGTTAATTAGTCCAAGGCCAAAATTTAATTTCTCAACCAAAATTAAAATTTAATAAGGAAATAAAGGACCAAAATGTCAGGCACTTTTAACCTGTCTGGCCTTCAGCTCCCAGTATTCTCCCCATAGCATGTTTGAGGACGTGTGGACTTCAACTCCCAGAATTCCCCAACCAGCATGAAGCAGGCTGGCTANCATGACCACGGAGACGTCTTTGGACAGCGCTGGCTCTTCGGCTTTGAAACGGAGATGAGCAGCGCCCCCTAGAGTCGGGAACGACTAGCACATACGTGCAAGGGGAATTTTTGCCTTTAAAACTCCCCATCTTCCTCTATTGGCCAAAGTCAGCCAGCTGGCATAGCTGGCTGAGGAATTCTGGGAGTTCTACTTCCATAAGTATTAAAGTCGACTCCTGCTTTAGAAGACCTCATCAAACCTTCTCAAGCCAGCAGATACTTGTGGACACCATGTCCTCCACCATGGCAAAATACCAGCCCCGAATTGTGACGTTCTGGGTCAAAATGTCCCTACAATGGAGATTTATTTCGCTGATTTCCCAGCTGCGCTAAATGAAGTAAAAAGAATTATATTTGCAGCTTAGGGACACATTTGTAATCTTCCTGTTAAGATTTCGATATTCAACCCCAAAGGGCTGATTCCATAAAGATATTTGTGTGTGTGTGTGTTGAGAAGGGGATCGTGGTTTGATGGTGGACCCGCCAGATAAGAAGGCCAGCCTTTCCCCCATCCTTGGCCAGCTAACAAGCGCCGATGTTGGTTTCCTCCCTCCAGTTCCGAAACTTCAAGATCATCTACCGACGTTACGCGGGGCTCTACTTCTGTATCTGCGTGGACGTGAACGATAACAATCTAGCTTACCTCGAGGCCATTCACAACTTTGTGGAGGTGAGTGTGGGCCTGTCCGCCTCTCGCAGGAACAGCACCTGCTCTCCCTGCCCACAGTGTACCTGGCAAGGTGTTCTTGCATCCCACTTCCTCCCCCTTGTCAGGGTTCAAAAGTGGGACCTCTTGCGCAGGGCCGAAGTACCCCCTCCAACTTCCCCTCTTCTCTCTCCTCAGGTTTTGAACGAGTACTTCCACAACGTCTGTGAGCTGGACTTGGTCTTCAACTTCTACAAGGTGGGAGTTCAGGACTTAAGTTGTTTTGAAGGTGTCAGGCCTGCCCCAATCTGATCCCTCGGCAAAGAGAAACCCTCGACTCCCATCGGGTTAAAGCAAAGGGTTCTCTTACTAAGGATGTTGGTTGCAGTGAAGTCAAGCCAGCTCTGAAATCTACCATGCTTGGTGGATACAAAAATAAGGTGTAGGCTCCCCCCCCCCCAAACCCATCCCTTCCCCGCCCCCCAGTCCTTTTCCAGCTAACCAGAGCTGGCCAAGATGTTTTGAACACTGACTCATATTTATGACGATGGTGTGTCCCAGGGTCCCCCCTTTGCGAACCTTTTAACAAGCAGGAAAAGCAGATTCACTAAACCAGTGTTTCTCAACCTTGGCAACTTGAAGATGTCCGGACTTCAACTCCCAGAATTCCCCAGCAGTGGTTAGGACAGTGTTTCTCAACCTTGGCAACTTGAAGATGTCCGGACTTCAACTCCCAGAATTCCCCAGCAGTGGTTAGGACAGTGTTTCTCAACCTTGGCAACTTGAAGATGTCCGGACTTCAACTCCCAGA